CCTTTTATAAACATTTCTGTGACAGCCGAAAGGGGGATGTGAGTATCCCGCAGATAGGAAGAAATTCATAGCCTGTGTGTCGCTTGAGACCCATTGTATATGTGCATACTGGAAGAGTTGCTCTCGAGAAACTCACTGTCCCGGGACTTGGAGTGGATTGAATGGTGGCCCCCCGAATCTTATGTTCATGCCTTAGTTTCTGGAACCTGTAAATGTGATCTTATGTGGAAAAAGTTCTTTGTAGATACCATTAAGGATCTTGAGATGAAGAGATCACCTTGGGTTATTTGGGTGGGCCCTAAGTCCAATGACAAGTGTCCTTATAAGAGCCACCCAGGGGAGACCGACAGAAGAGGCAATACGGCCATGGGGGACAGGAGTGTTGCAGACACAAGCTGACAAACCCCGGAAAGTTCCATAAGATGAAAAAGCAAGGACAGAATCTCCTCTAAGGCCTTTAAAGCAGGCACATCCTACCAACACCTTGATTTTGGACTTCTGGCCTCCAGAACAATAAGGGAATACATTTCTGTTGCTTTACACCGTCAAGTTTGTGTTAATTTGTTATGGCAGCCTCAGGGGTCCTTCTCTTTTATTCTAAACACACTTATATCCCTTTCTCATACAAGGGAATCAATATGCCTTCCGTCCAATTTTATTTGAATAAATTTCTTATGTGGTAAATTTTCAGTGGAATCCTTTACACTTTAAGGATTGAGTGTAAATGACTTCCTTGGCAGATGTTGAGGACCCTGCGGAGGCATGAATGAGCACTTTGCTGGGAAGTAGGTCCACAGCCATTCTCTCTCAATGGGATATCCATAGAATCCAGTAACTTTAAAAATTCCTGAAAGAGTCCAGACAAATGGGAGAACAAAAGGAAGCTGCACTCTGAGAGAAATGGGAACAAAGACTATGAAAAACTCAAAGAGAGTAAGTTTCCACTATTTGGAAGCAGGAAGAACCCAGTGAGTTAGGAGGCTTGAAATCCATGTCTTTAGAAAGAAGTTTTGGTATCCTCCAAAATGCAGGTAAGGAAGCAGAAGTTACAAAGGTTTTGCAAATGAGAATCCAAAAGGCAAAGTCCATCCAATCCCGAGTCTGGAGGGAAAAAAATCAGTGCTTTTTCTGGACAGAGGCCTAGAAGGTTGGAGAGAAGTTCAGATTTCTATAGTTAAATCTTGCATGTGGTTGAAAAAGCTAAATTCTGTTTCAATGACAAACAAGTAAAACACTGTTTCCAAAGAGTGATTTCTATTATATTGAGAACAAAGGGAGAAAAAGCAGTTTACTGAAAGGGAAGAAAGGTGTGAACTTAAATTTGACTCTAAAAAGGAAATGGAATGGAATGCATTTTTTGAGCCTGTTGCAATGAAAGTTCTGAGATGAAATTTAGAGTTTTAGAAATTTGGCTGCAGAAACCACAAGCCCCAATTGACAGCTGCTCCAGTGGGCGCCATGCAAACTGCCTCCAGGCAGCAAATGGGCTGGAGTCACCTGCTTTATTCCCCTCAGGAAAGTACTTGAGATGGGGCTTGGGGGAAGGATCAGGGGGAGGGAAGGCAGAGCGCTGTACAGCATGCTGGCTTTCCAGAAAAATTGGAACAGAGAGGCTGTAGCTTTCTATAACAAAATTACAAAATGTTTTGATACAAATTACCTGGCAGGTGTTTATAGTTCAGGCTGGTCTGCTCCTCTGCCACCTCTGACAAAACCAGGTGAAATCCAAAGCCTGTTTTTCAGCATAATTTACAATCTTAAGCACAAGAAAACATTCTTCACAAAACAGGATTCTGGTCCTTGAAAATCTCAGACTCCAGGCTCTCCTGCCTGGGAAATAATACCTGGGATATAACATCCAATAGCTTATTTGCAATCCGCTGCAATAAATGCTTTTAGAGCTCAGGGGAAGCAAAATGCATATATGTACAAAATGGACCACAGTTTCTAAGGGTTCTGCCTAACATCAATTTCTTCCCTGAAGTAAATACAGTGTTTCTAAAACTTATGTGACCAAGATAATAGCTGGTAAGAAGGGCCTAAGTTTTTGGTTCTTCTTGTTTGTTTTTAGAAAAAAAATCATGTTACACTCAAATTCCTCTTTAAACAGGATTGCCAAATCAGCAGAGGAATAAAATGTACTAGCAATTTGGCCACCGAAGTGACATGATATAGAAGCACATTTTATAACATGAGTATTCAGTGTGGCACAAAACTTTCCTTACCAAATTATTTCATCCTGCGTATCTCATGTTCTTTCCCTGCAGGCACTAGCTTGTGCAGGCTTTCCAGCATCTTCTAGGGATCGCCAGTCACAGGCCCCCCCATCTCTCACCTCACTCATAGAGTCTAATGAAGATTTTCTACTTGGGTCTAATAACACATGAAAAGAAGGCAAGATATTTCATTTAACAAACACATACAGAAATTTCTTTTTTTTTTTTTAATGTTTTTATTTACGTAATAAAAAAAGAGAGAGGAAGAGAGAGCATAGGAGGGGCCAAGAGAAAGGGAAAGAATCTCAAGCTGACTCTGTGCTCCCAGCACAGAGTCCTATGCAGGGCTTGTGGAGCCTGAAATTAAGTCCTCCATTAAAAACAACCTCAGGCTGCACACAGTGCCAGTTCAGGAGAAGCTTCCGCTGAAACCGCCCTCGGACCACCCTCGGATCTGCCAATCAAAAGAAATGTGTAACATTCCTGTAGTCTTGGAGAGGAGTCAGGGCTGGGAACTGCAGGTAGTTACTTTGTACAAACTTGCCAATCAATCACCGGTTGCCTCAGCCCCACCTACGCCCTTTGAGCCCACCTCATAATTGGTCATTTTAAAAGACTCTCAAAGGTCATGATTGGGTCCCGCCAAAAGTAACGACGCCTCACAGATACTGAATGGTCAAAACTGTTACTATGCTGTTACTATGGGTGTTGTACAATTATGATTGGTGCTTACATAATGATGCAAAAGGTACAACGTGTGCACGGTAACACCCCCGCCCTTACCCCATAAAAACCCTGCTCGCCACTGTTCGGGGCTCCACTTCTCCACTTCGCTGCTGCTGTGCAGGGAGATGGGTGAGGCCCTGCTCGAGCTTGTAATAAAGACCCTTTTGTACTTGCATCGGTGCCAGCTCCTTGGAGGTCTCTGGGGACTTGCGATTCGGGCATAACAGGCTCCATCTCACAAACGGTGAGCTGAAATCAAGAGTCTGACTCTCAACCAACTGAGCCACCTAGGAGCTCCATATAGAAATTTCCATGTATCAGCCATAAATACTATCACAGCACTTTACAAACGTTAACCCATTTGATCCTCAAAATACCTCTGAGTTAGGTTCTGTTTCACCTCTATTTTACAGATGAGGATACTTGTCACATAGCTAGAAAGAAATAGGTTCAGGATTTATGTGAGTGTGTGAAATTAAACACGATACCATGCTAGCTTAAGTTGTAGTGTTATACAGGGGAATGAAGCAGAATTATCAAATAATACTAAGTACTTGTATGTAACCATTTATAAAAAAATGGAGATTTTAAAAAGTTAATAAATGGAGATTTTTTTGATGGAAAAAAGTCATCTTTAGAATATTCATGTAGACAGATTTTTATCATGGGGTTCTAAAATTATAGTTTAACTATAGTTTGTGAAGCTTTATAGTATATTATATGTGGGAGCCCGACAGGGACCACAAGAAAGCGTGGTTAGGGACGCGGGGATGTGCCTGCACACGGGGCTCCCTGCCTGGGTAAAGCATGCCTGCAAACAGGATGCTCTGCCAGGAGGCCTGCACACAATATCCAAGTTTAATGGTCCGCTCGCAAACGAGGGAACATGCCCTCCTTAGAAGTAAGGAGGAGCCTGGAATTGTGAGCAGGCCTCTTAGTAAACATGTTGTGGTCGCTTCCTCCCTTTGCTCCCACCTGTCCTTGAAATGTGTTTGGCTACTTGCCCTTAATTGGTAAAGGAATGCATCTTGTAGATTTCAGTATGTATCCAGTTACCGGGGTATAAAATAAACTGCAAGCGCAAGAGGGGCTTGCGTAGAATTGTTCCTCCGGCCGGAGTTGTGTCTGTGTCTGTCTTTTGTGTGTGTCTTGTCCTTTGTGTCATTTCGTCCGCAACATTATATGTGCCATATATGTATATTATATATAGTATATATAGATTATATATATAAATAGTAGTGTTACTCAATTGATATAAAGATAATCACCAGTCAAGTCTGTATATATCTTTAAATCATCAATTATATTTATTTCTCTGATTATAAAAGTAATAAATGTCCAGATACAGAAGCTTCAGAAAAGCACATGGCAAAAAATAAAAATCACTCCTAATCCCACCATCTAGAAATCACCATCACTGATATTTGTCTAGAAGGAGTCATTTTGTCTTCTTTCTATCTGTATATTCATTGGTTGGTGTATTGACTCAGCACTTATTAGATGGGTTCTTTGTGCCAAAGTGAGACCTTATTCAAAGAAAAATAAGTTATACATTTTTTAGTGTGTACTATATATTCTCTAAGAGTTGTAAGAGTCATAAAACCAATACATTAAGATTACTAAAAATACTTTTTTTAGCGTATAAATAAATTCACAGTGATACACATGCTAGAACATTCTTAGAAATCCAAATATTCAGTCTAATTGAAGTCACAATGGTGATATTTTTCAAAAGATGATTTTGTCGTTATATTTGCTGCATTGCCTTTAAGCAGGATTTGCATCAGTAGGATGAAAACAATGCTTATTCTTGAACTTGTGCACAAAGTAGTTGATACGACACATCCATTCATTCATGATTATTTTCTTAGTGAATTGATTCTAAAGCCTCTCTGAGATAGGAAGGCAGAAGACAACTAAAAAGAAATTTATTGATTTATGACTGTTCTAATACTGCATAGCATTTGTAAAGTAAACTGTATCCATAAAGGATGTTATAATTCCTAATCACAGAACACCTTGCTGAGCTAGGAGTAGAAGAATTCTTTCATACAGGAGGAAAATTAACACTATAAATCAACATACTAGTTTGAAATTTTGCATGCTATGATTTCCAGCATCACAAGAGGCTGAAGGAACTCCTCCATTGAGAGTAGGTCCGGTGGTGGTGGCTACCTTTTCACAGCTTTGAAGCCAGCTTCCTCTTGACCGTACCAGTAATTCTGCCGTACGGATTGTCTAACGGGAGCAAGACCTGTAGAAAAACCACATGGCAACTTCAGAGGCATTAAAATAGACCTCTCCTTTTTTTGGATGAGTTGATATTAAGTCAAAAACAAAAACAAAAACTTGCTAAACAGGAAAATGTATTATGTCCTACAGTCAAGTTATTTCAAGCATGCGAATGCCTTATTTTTCTGGCAATAGTTGAAGGACAAGTTGATTGTCCAGAAAATTAAAAAGTTTTTGAAAGATTTGAATCATTGGGATATACGTGTTTCTCAAATGCATTACATATCTCTGCTGTTTAAACAGAATGTGGTGACCACAATTCGGCCTTTGCTTGGGGATTCACTTTGAATACCCATCAATGAATACCTATCAATGTCCAATGTTGTCACACCACGCCCTCAGGAACATCCAAGGTCCTCAGGGCCGGTAGCCCAATGCTAAATGGCTCCAGACAGCTGTGGATTTACCATTATTCTCTCTTGCTGCCCTGTGATTTGTCACTTCTCCACTTTTGTCAGTGTGTCCTGACTCCCTACTTCTCATGTGTTGCCTTTACTTTGTACACGCCTGCTGGCTGAGGGCCTGAGAGCAGCTCCCACCGTCCAACCCCAGAGCGCAGACACAGAGTCAGGACAACTCGTTCAGCCTCCGAGGTGCCTTCGTGCGGAGCCCTGGCCCAAAGGACTGGGCCTTCCTGTACCGGGGCCCCCACTCAGGCTTCAGGTGGGAGGCGAGGAAGCTGCAAGTGTGACTTCTTGGAAATAGAGACACACCTGGCAAGCCCTGCGACATGTCCTTGAGCTGGGATGAGGGCAGGTCACAGGTGTCTGGGGACCCTGAGGAGACCTCGTTTCTCTGCTGGGCTCTTCGGCTAAGCACTGCTGCAGTCATGATCCTTGACCCTTTTCTGTTTGGAGCTCATTTGTCATACTTTTGGTCGACATGACCGAGATTACTGTCAGGTCCCTCTCTTGCCCGTTAAAAGGTAATTATTTTAAAGGGCTTTAATTCTAATTAATGGTATTCTGGTAATCTACATCCTTTCCTTCCAGTGACGTAAATGATGCTGCCTCCCAGTTCAGTCGAATGAACGGTACCTGAGATCAACATTGCTCTCCTCTACGATTCAGGGTTCTCTAGCTGCTATCACAGACACCTAAGCCTGACCTTTGTTTCCCAGTGCTGTTCCCCAGCCTCCGCCTGCAGCTGTGGTAGCATAGCCCCATGGAGCCCATTAACATGATTTGCAGAACAGAAACAAGAATAGAGAAATCCTGCCATTCTGAAAATGGCTTAAGAGGGGAAGGCCTGTTCCAATCTCCCAGGACCTACTACTTCGGGCTAACTAGTAAGACACATTTGGTTTAAACTTCTGCCATGGCTTAAAACAAGTCAGGGTAAGTGTTTTTCCAAAACAATGTTTGCTTTCAAAAAGTGCACTTTCTAATATCTCTCTTTCTCTCTGTTTTTTTTGTTTGTTTGTTTCTTTTTTCTTTCTTTCTCTTCTTATGTTTATTTATTTATTTTTGAGAGAGAGAGAGAGAGAGAGAGAGAGCAAGCACATGCAAATGAGGTAGGGGCAGAGAGAAAATCCCAAGCAGGCTCCTTACCATCAGTGCAGAGCTTCACAAACCATGAGATCATGAACTAAGCCAAAATCAAGGGTAGATGCTTAACGACTGAGCCACCCAGGCAACCCCCTCATCCAGCTTTCTACAATTACAGTTGGAAACACAAATAGTCTTGCTTTTTTTCTGTTTACATTTTCTGTTTATATGCTACTTACATTGACTACTTAATCAAAAGTTAAAGATGATGAAAGAAAAAGAAAATAGAATCTGTTTTTTTCTTCTTATTGCCTCATGATGGAAGAATAATGAAGCTGTGACCCTGTGTGGCACTTTTAGGAGAAGTACATGTCTGAGCTGTCTACTCTGGCACACTCTGTTCTTTCTTTGTCTTTTAATCTCTGTAGCTTCCAACCCGCTTCCTTAATCATTCACCCACTTCTAGGGCACTCCAGCCTCAGGTACTGAAAGGCCCAGGATCTAAGAGGACTCTAATCAGTGGCAGCTATAAATATTCCACAAGCAACAGCTGTTGAGAGTTTTGGTTTGTGATATTACCATCCCAACTTTATAAAAACGGGTAAGGGTGTAGGGGTGGGAGGGTAGATGTTCTTTAAATATTTTTAAAGTTCTCTTACCTCTTCCTTGTTGATCAGTCCCATTTTGGTCATGTCTATATTAAAGTAGTGAATGTTTGGCAGGCTGATTTCCATATCTTCTATCTGGAATCCAAAGTAATATGGATCACATTGGGCAACTGTGAATCTATCTCTCTGTCACTCCTCCCCAGCAACCCAATTGCCCGTTAGTCCATCACTCAAGTTCCACCTCTGTCTCTGAGACACCTTCTAATATTCCTCTACGGCTTGCACAGCTGTCTCTTGCTAGTCCCATTACGAGATGGTGGACGCATTCCTTTTCCTCCAAGTACAAAATCTGTTCTCAAAAAAGTAAGAGTTCCTTGGGTCAGAAAACAGTGAGAATTTCGGTATCCAACTGGCCTCCTGGTGCTGGCCAGTCGACCTCCTAAATTCTTCCTCAGTCCGTTTCCTCCTCTCTAGGCCTATCCTGAACACTTACAGGCCCTGGAATAAGAGTACAATTGGAGGTGGGGGAAAGGGAGAGAGGCAAACCATGAGAGACTCTTGAATGCTGACAAAAACTGAGGACTGATGGATGTGGGGGGGAGGGGGGGATGGCATGGAGGAGGACACTTGTGGGGATGAGCACTGGGTGTTATGTGGAAACTAATTTGACAAACTGTTTGTAAAAGAAATAATTAAAAAAATTTAAAAACAAATAAATAAATAAATAAATAAAAGTACAATTGGAGGCCCATATGCCAGGTGTTTAAAGTTACGAATCAGGGAACAACATTTTTTTTTTTTGCAGGGGAGGAGCAGGGAGAGAGAGGGAGACAATCCCAAGAGGGCTCTAAAGTGCAGAGCCCTTTCTGTGGGGCTCAAACTCATGAACCATGAGATCATGACCTGAGCCAACACCAGGAGTCAAGCATTTAACCGACTGAGCCACCCAAGTGCCCCCAAGCAAAAAACTTTTAAGTGAAATATGTTCTATCCTTCTTACTTCACAAATACACCTTCATAACAACCTGGAAAGCCAGAATCTAGTTGAAATTTCTCTGACTGCTCACAATGCCATTGCAGGATGTGGCAGCGTGGAAAGAGCCAGCCCCCAACCCCTGGACCATCCCTTATTCTCCCTTGGCCTCACGAGGACACCCTAGCTTGCATGTCAAGTCTCATCCCTGCTTCCTGCAAACATCTGCCTCTTTGCCCACTCTCAGGCCCAAGGGTATATACACTCATGGCATGATCTGCCTCCAGAGGGTGGATCTGGGAAAGAGGCTTGCACAGGTTCTAAAAGTGGTCTCGGGGTTATTTGGGCAGTTAATTCTGGGTGGCAGAGAAACTAGAAAGGGATGTGTGCACCCCTGAAGGGTTTGTTGCTTCGGTCCCACTGACTCTTCACCCAGTGGAGAAAGGATAGCCGGAGAACAGCCAGGAAAGTACCGGGTCATGGCAGGATCCCTCTTGCCCATGTCTAAAGACTGGTACTCTTTTTCTCTACCCGTCATGGCCTTACTTAGTTCAGACCCTCTTTGCCAGATTTCTGCTTCCCAATAGCCTCCCTACAGGTCTCCTCGTCTATGGTTTGCTGTCCTTTTAATTTGTCACTCTTCTTTTAGAGTGATCTTTCTAGGGTGCAAACCCAGTAGGGCTACACCTTGGTTAAGCCCCTCCGTGGCTCCTAAGAGCTTTGAAAATAAAGAACAGACTATAAACAAGCCCATGAGGATCCTCCTGGTCTGATTTCTGCCTCAACCCTAGGCACATGGAGACATTCACTCCTGACACTTCACATATGGCAGAACCTCAATGATGATTGATGATTCCATGCTCCTCACTCCGCCTTGGGTGTGAACGCAGATAACCCCTACTTGTCCCTTAAGACTCAACTCCGGAAAGCCTGGCTGGCCCAGTCTTCCATACCTGAGTTAGGTGCCTTTCTCTGTATTTCCATAATGCTTTATGCTCTACCATATCATCAGTTTACTTATTTTCTTCTTTTACTGAATGATGAACTCCTTGAGGGCAGGCACACTGTCTAATTTATCTTTGTATTCTTTGTGCGCTGACAGATATGTAATACCATTCAATAACATCAGATGGATGGATGGAATCTGTCTGCATCTATCCTTCCTTCGCTGGCTACCCTGAAACATAGACTTTTGCTCAAATTATCCCTCCTTCAGGGTATTTGAGCGTCCTGATATGAGGCTTAAATTGCAGCAGGTTGTAAAGACCCAAAGAATTTTCAACAAAGAACTACGGCAGTAGCCTATGTTTTCAGGTTGGACAGATTTTTCCATTTTTTGCTCTCTTCTCACTTGCTATAACAAGCTTTTGAACAACAACAGATGTCATTTTTCATGTGTCTTCCACTGTCTTATTTTAACTCTCAACTTTTCTGTCAGAGCTGACAGGAGCCATAACAAGTTCTCTCAGTCTTGAGAATGGCAAGTGACCAAACATACCTCAGGAATCTGGCTCAAAGTGTGCACCTGGATGTCATAGAGGGTCTTCTGGACAGAGGGCGAGTACTCGCCTTTGTCATAGGGTCCAGCAAATCTCGCCAGGACAATATCCCGAACAGTGTCCCTAAAATACAGAAAAGACAGCTCAGGACTCATAGGGTGGTCTTTTAGGAGTGCAGTATAAAGCTAAGAAGCAGTAACCTTCTCTTCCTGCAGTAAACAATTTTATTGCTGGTTTTAGAAGAGATTAATATCTTGTAATGGCCCCCACCAAAAACACCTCACTTCCCATTTCTTTACCCATACGCATGCGTGCATACACACACACACACACACACACACACCCTATTCAACAAAGGTATCTTTATCATCTGCAGCTAGGACGCACTGGGCATTCCAGGGTAAATCTCCATCACGTTTGAAGAACCTATGAAGAGGACTTCCGAGTACTCCGACCCCCTTACTGTTCAGCCTGACCAGTTCCTTGAATTGTTACCTTTTTAGGGGTTTTGTTCTGTGCCATGCTCTGTGCTAAGGATTTTATGTGATTACTTCATCGAATTCTCTCGATATTCCTGAGGCAGGTACTATTATTATCCACACTTTAGACACGTGGAATCTTAAAAGTTATGTGATCCACACTAAGCTCCTCTCCTTAGTGGGTGGTCCAGCTTAGGCCCTGACTCTGTCGTGCTCAATTTTGTGCTCTTTCCAACAGAAATATATCAGTCTTCTGCCAATGGGGAACACTTGGGAAAAAGAAGATTCAGGTGAAGTTCTCTGAAAGCAGTTTCAGACCCATCACATAATAAAAGGAGTAGAGCAAAACTATCCCAGTGGGAGGAAGCTACCAGGGGGCAGATTCCAGCTCATCAGGAAGTAGATTCTAGCAATGAGACCTTCAGCAGAGGACTGAGATGCTTGGTCAAATGCAACCTCAGAGTCCGGAGACCTAATTCCTGCTTGCCAAGGATATTATAAGGATAATCATACCTTTATGTTGTTAACACATTTATCTTTTATAAACTGCTTCTGTAAATATCATCTCATTTTGAGTTTAGCCTAGAGTGACTAACTGTCCCAGTTTGCCTACCGACCAAGGGGTTTCTCAGGACATGGGACTTTTCAGTGTTAAAACCAGGAAAGTCCTTGGCAAACTGGGATGAGTTGGTCACCCTCGTTTAGCCCTCTCTGTATCTACCATGAGGTAGTAACGTCAAATATTATCCTCACTTGATATGGTGGTTCTTAAAGCGTGGCTCCTGGTCGAGCAGCAGCAGCAGCAGCAGCTGGGAGTTTACTAGAGGTGCAAGTTCTCAGGCCCCACCCCAGGTCTACAGAATCAGAACCTCTGGAGGTGCGCCCAGTAATCTGCCTTCTACTAAGCCCTCCAGGTGATTCTGATACACAGTAATGTTTGAGAACTACTGATATAATCAGTTAAAAAACAAATGGTCAGGGAAATTAGGTGGTCCATTCAAGGTCATTTTAGCTAACAGCATCTAAGATTTCAACGCAGGTTTACTAATGCAAATCAGACCATTGTCTTTCTGTTATCCAAAGAAGGGACTTTGAACAGTGAGGAGGATGAATTGCTTGGCTTCTATGTTTCCTGTTAAGATCCAAGACTCTATGACCTTGAGGCCCCTGGGAAGAGGGCAGAGGCAGCACCAGGCCTTAGCACACACTCATACCAGGTAGTGTCAAAGTCCACGTCTCTGCACTGGTGATAGCGCCACTTGCAGTACACTTGGGTGGCAAAACACCGGTCCTTCACCTCAGGGAGGGTGGTGAACTGGTCCTTGATGAATCCTTCAAATCCAGACTGGGTCGTTTTCAAGACCTTGAGGTCTTTGATTCCAGAATGAATGACTGGAGGTCCTGTTTTAAGTAAACAGGTAAGAGGGGAAGAGGTCATATATAAAACAATGCCTTCTTATTGACAGCTAGCTCTGAGAATCCTGGTCATTAAAACATGGTGCACTGTTGAACAAAGAACTACCTTGCTATCCATATTTTCTGTCTCTCTGTCTCCTCTGGCATTATGAGGATGCTGTGCCTTTCTCTCTATCCAGATTCCATGACTCCCTGCCTTTCTCTTGCCCTAGGAGAACTGAAAGTCAAAGACTAAACCTCCATGTTGTATTGAAACCCACAGAAATGAATACCTTCCTCTCAGCTACAGGTACAAATAGTCTCTATGCCAAATACATTCCCCTTGTTGGGCTCCACTGTCACTCAACATATAATCATGCTGAAATGAGTGACTAAGCTCCTCCAAAGCAGTCCTTCGGTTTGCTACTCTGACTCCCTTTACAGGATGGGAGAGGGTTAGTCCTCGTGTTGATCATCTACACTGGCTGATGGCTCCAATTATCATCAGATCCTCAGTTCTCTTGTGGTTATGAGCTCACTGAAACCAGACAACTTCATGAATGAGTAGCACTGTGGACCTGGCTCAGCTTAAATAGAGACTGGGATGATGAGGCAGTGACCCACCCAGAGGGCATAGATCTTCCTAGGTGAATATCCATAAAGGCTTTGGGTTTTTGGCTGAAGGAGAAGGGACAAAGTTGGTTCATGGGCACCTGGAGGAGAGAAGGCAGAGTTGATCAAAATGGAAGGAATGATAGTTCTCCTGCAGTCCTTGACATCACCTCGTATGGCAAATGCGGAAGGTGGAGGGGTGATAGGCATAGTCTAAAGAAGATATTTACTTGTCTGCCAGGCAGTTCTAGTTCAGGGCCCAGGTGACAGGTAGTGGACAGAGTTAGTGAGGAGAAGATTCTCTTTTTCTATGTGGAACACACTCTGGCAGTTTGGTGAAGCCTGAATAGAACATGACACCAGGTGTCCTACTGGGAAGACCCAGGGTACAGTGCTCTGTAAGAGAGCATCATTCTTCCCCAGAGCAGGGACAAGCAGCACAGCCAATGCTGAGCAGAGCCAGTGAAGCAGTATAATTCCCAATGGGTGCAAACTTCTCCCTGAACACCTGTGAGACAGACTTCCAGACTGTCAGGAAGTGGGAGAATTTGGCTGGGGAGATCCAGCAGTTTGGTAATGAGAGAACTCTAAGGCCAGGAAAATTCAGGAATTAACATCATCAGCCTTATTTATATGTGCGGGCTGGTGAGGCTGGAGGTTCAAGGAGTGCTTGGGTACAAACCACCAGTAGCATAGTGCCATGACAGGATGACTAAGGTCATCTCTTTACAGTCTTGAAGTTAGTCCTGATTAACGTCTATCCTTCTTGGCCTGGTTAGTATATAACTCAAGGGCCAGAAGCATCAGGCATCTATGTTGCACATGGTCCTAGTTGAAGAACAAGAATATAACTCATGATCCTCCACTAAAATCCAGGGAAGCTCTTAATAATCCAATAGTTTACATCATCTGTGTGGTTTCAATTGCTGTGGTTAACTCAGGAGCTGTGGAGTTTTACAAGTAGGTAAATAATGACCATATTTTGATATTTTCCCAGCCACAGGTGTACATCTACCAAAGAGAGCAATGGCCAGTGATTAGTAGTAGATCTGCTGATTAAATAAGGTATTCTGATCGGAGTGTTCCAGGATAACGTGTTAAATGAAATGATATTTAACATTTGGAAGTCCTCTTTGGAAACTATATCTGAAGAAGGATCAAGAGAAAGACACCAGCAATGCCTAATGCTTTAAGTTGCCTAGGTTTATTGGATTCTGGATGTATGATGACATGATTCTGCAAAATCAGCATTTCTAAATGCTGTATAGAGCTGATCCAAGTGAGACTAAGCTTAAAATACAAGAGAATTGCAGAAGCAATCAATAAGTATCTACTGAATGAATGAGTGAATGCATCAACGAGATTGTTTCAGGTCAGAGAATACATATTTCACAGATTAGTCTCTTTTTCTTTTAGACAGTTCTCTTCCATCAATCCTTGCCATTTCCCTTCCTCATCATTTCCCACCCAAATATAATACACAGCATGGCAGAGGAAGGGGAGGACATCAACATTAGCCAAAAACATCCTGATGATCAGCATGCATTTAGTTGCTGCCTTTTTCAGTCTTTGTCTTACTTAATCCTCAAATTCTATTAACTATTTCTTAATGTTTGTTTATTTATTTTGACAGAGGGGTGAGGGGCAGAGAGAGAGGAATCCCAAGCAGTCTCCGCGGGGCTCGTGAGATCATGACCTGAGCCAAAATCGAGAGGTGGCTGCTTAACCAACTGAGTAACCAGGTGCCCCTCTATTAAGTATTCTTATACAGGAGACTTTCAGCCATTTGCCCATAGTCACATGGCCAGAAACTGGCAGGAGTGGAATTTGAACTCAGCACTTCATTATTTCGTCCTTTTTGGATCCCTCCCCATTCCCATGATGTTTTCTCCTTCATTTAACTCTCTTTCCCCATTTCTTTACAATATGAGGCCTTTCTAGGAGGCAAGAAGGTTGCTGTCTCCTCTTCCACAGTATTTTATGAGAGCTTCAGACAGAGCCCCCAACATGAAAAATACCATCTCCATTCATCTGAAATGGCAACTGAAGCATCACTTTTAAAAATGGCCCCTATGAAGTACAAATCAAAACCACACTGAGATACCACCTCACGCCAGTCAGAGTGGCTAAAATGAGCAAATCAGAGAACTCTAGATGCTGGCGAGGATGTGGAGAAACGGGCACCCTCCTGCACTGTTGGTGGGAATGTAAACTGGTACAGCCCCTCTGGAAAACAGTGTGGAGGTTCCTCAGGAAACTAACAATAGAACTCCCTTATGACCCAGCAATAGCACTGCTAGGAATTTACCCAAGGGATACAGAAATGCTGAGGCATAGGAGCACATGTACCCCAATGTTCATAGCAGCACTGTCCACAATAGCTAAAACATGGAAAGAGCCTAAGTGTCCATCAACAGATGAATGGATCAAGAAGATGTGGTTTATCTATACCATGGAATACTACATGGCAATGAGAAACAATGAAATCTGGCCATGTGTAGCAACATGGATGGACCTTGAGGGTGTTATGCTGAGCGAAATAAGTCAGGCAGAGAAGGACAAATATCATATGTTTGCACGTATAGGAGGATTAGGAGGAACTTGACGGAGGAACAAGGGGGAGAAGAAGGGCGGAAATGGTGGGGGAAAGGGAGAGAGGCAAACCATGAGAGACTCTTGAATGCTGACAAAAACTGAGGACTGATGGATGTGGGGGGGAGGGGGGGATGGGCATGGAGGAGGGCACTTTGGGGATGAGCACTGAGTGTTATGTAGAAACTAATTTGACAATAAACTATTTGTAAAAAAAAAATAAATAAAAAAAATAAAGTCATAATAAAAAAAAAATGAAAAAAAAAAAAATGGCCCCTATGTGTCTTAAAAACTTTTTATTCCTTAAAATTTTCCTGTTGAAGTACAAAGACTCCATAAAGAATTGACTTCTTAAGCCTTTATCAACTAATACAATTTTCTTCCAATAGTAATCCCTTCTAGAAAAAATATCCTATAAAAATGAAATAATGGGTTTGCAATATGGAATGGCATTAGAACAAGTAGTATTCCTTGGAGGGGGAATAAAGAGAAAGTGAATAAGAACCAAAGGCAAATTTTACCTATTTCATGTTCTCTTATATAGCACTATATTACCATCAGCATCCAAGTAAGCCAATAAAACTTTGGCTCCTCCAATGGTCTTAACCATGAAAGGATTTCTGGATGCAGTGTTGCACAGTGGCAGAGACCGCAGCCTTGGAACTCAAGATTTCCTGAATTCAGATCTCAGTGTTCTCAGGGCCTCTCCCCCTATATTTTATGAGCATTATTTCCCATAGAACATTACTCAGCCCCTCTTTACCTTGAGTTTCTTATCTTGCAAATGGAGATGATTACCATACCTATTTCCCCCAATTGATAGAAGTCTGAGATAATATCCATAAAGGACTTAGTAGAATGGTTGCCCCCCACCCAGAAAATGCCTTATCAAAGTTATTATCATAATATTGTGATAATTGACTTTTTCATATCAATGTGAACTACCTGTGAACATTTCTCATGTTTCACAAAGGCTCGTTGGGTTCTGCAAACTATTTCTGACCTGCTGTCTGTATCCACCTCCAGTTCTGGAATGAGATTTATTGATCTCTGGGGAGCGTCAGTTCTGCTAGGCAACTTTTTAAATGGTCTATTTTCTTGCTAGCATCTGAACATGAAGAAAGAAGTGGAATTTTTAAATGTGTTTTGGCCTCTGTTTCACATAGAAGAAAATATTTTATGCTCCCGAAGACAATTAACTATTGCCACAGTTTTGGCAGAACACAAACCATCTACTCTGCTGTGCTCATCATTCTATGAAAAACAACAACAACAACAAAAAAAAACCCTTATTCTCTTTTAATATGAATTTTTTTCCCACTGGCACACATTAGACACTCTGGATGAAATCAGAGAGCTTATTTTATCTTCCCCGTTGGCGGTGTCCCAGCTTTCTGAACACTGGTACGAACCTGAGCCTTTCAGATTCATGGACCCATCGACTAAAAATATGGTGCCTCGTGCACTCTAAAAACAACTTCAATTCAGACTGGCAGAATTATTTCAACCAAAAGGACTGTCATTTTCTAGGTTACTTATCATAAAATCACTTAATCAGCTTTTTTTTTTTTGCCTTTATGCCATGGTTATAGAGTAATACAAAAGGAAGATTTTCACATTTTACTTTGCTAGAACATAATCTTTGCTAGCTTTTAGTGTCCTCCTACACACTTAACAGATTGTGGTTTATCTCTCAGAGAAGCATACATCCTACCCTTTAGCTCTCTAAGGGAAAGAAACTCACTGTGCATTAATAGAAAATAAGCCCAATTCCTTACCTACGCATCAGGTGTCACAAAGCA